TTATTATATTTTATCTATAAATTATATTATTTTACATTATATTTTTATTCAATTACAGTTGTAGCACTCAGAATATTAGCCATCCAACTGCCAATTCTTTTATTTTTTTTTTAATTTCCATAAATTCAATACAGTTTTTTAGTATTCCTCAAAATGAATTCAAGATTTTTTTGTGTAGACCCTCGCTGCCATTATGCATGCTGCATGCCATCCATGATGCAGTTGGTCGAGGCATCTAAATTGCTGTTGATTTCTTTGCCATTTCGTCATAACAAAGCCAATTGTGTTGGCCAGAAACGGAACAGTACAAAATTTTCCATTGGATTTTCAAATTTGCGTATGCGATTAGCAGCCTAAATGAAAATGCCAAAGAAAAGAAAATGAGCTTGGAAAAGCCACAAATACACACAAGCGCACACACGCCCACACAGACACTTTAAAGTGTTGTTCTGTCCCGTGTGGCTGTCAGCATGAAGTAGGTAATGGAATGGAAGAGCTCCGAAATTCAACAGGAAGCCAATCGAACTGCCACTTTGGCAACGTTTCGTATGCAAATTCACCAATACACGCACACGAAAACACACACAGGGAGAGAAGAGAGCTTGAGATACAGATACACTTCAGGTAACAATCAAAGCATTTCACAGTCAAGTATGTTTGTATTTTTGTATTATTTTTTTTTTTTTCGAGTGGCTTACCACAGCATTTGGCATTGTTTGTATAGCACTTGTGCCACAGTGCCTGAGTCTTGGCTTCAATTTTTAAGTTTTGCCTGCTTCCAGAGAGTCGAAACTAACCCAAAATATTGACTCCCTAGAGGTCACAATGATTGCCGATTGTAATTATTTAGTAATTTATTTAATTATTTAATTATTTAGTAAGTTTTTTTAGTGTTATTTTAGTATTTAATTATTTAGTAATTTAGTAACATTTTTATTTAAATAGAATTACAATTTAATAAGCTCTAACAATTTTCTTTTGATTTATGCCAAATATCTAATAAAATGCTTATTTAATTCTTACAAAATTTATAATTATGATTTAATAAATTACACATTTAATAAACTCAACAGAAATTTGTTTTTCATATAGCTATATATTTATTGCTGTTTTTTTTTTTTTTTTTTTTTTTTTCATAGCCCTTTAGAATAATTGTCAATTGTAATTATCTAGTAACATATTATTTA